AATAATGCACTTGAAACAGTTACTTCATAGGATATTTCAGGACCTTATTAACAATGATTTTCAACATACAACAACTAGTATCAGGCTGTCTTTACTGTTCACGGTGAATATGCTTTATAAATGTTCACAAAAAGTAAAGCCAAACATTCAGTTAGAAGCGTATACAGCTGTATTTCAGTTTACATGAAGTATCTCAGCTGTCTGACTAGAGGATTGACTGATATTACTTTAGGATTAAAATAAATTAAATTATAATTATTCTTCACTTTATGCCATGTAATATATTTGAAGAATATGGAGATAACATAACTCTTTTCTAGTACTGTTTGTATAAAACACTCAGTACATAAAATATGTAAAAGACAAAACATGGCCCAAGGCTATATTATTTTTCAAACAGTGAGATCAGTGTATAGAATGGTGTATTTAAGGCGTGGTAGAAACTGGAACACATAAGAAAAGTCTGAAAGAGTATTTTATAGGAGATGTTTAACATGACACTTATTTTCATGCCTTGTTTCTAGTTGTAGCAAAGTGAAAATGAGCTTTTGAAAAAATGTGTAGCATATGCTCTTATGGAAGAGAATCAAATAATCATTTAGGTAAAAATAAAAATATATCTCACCTGCTTGATAGTTTTGATTTTGAGTTTCCATGGTTGCATAATCTGTTTGAGCAACCTGAGGGTAGTAAGTATGCGACTTCTCGTATGCAGACTAAATTAAGAGAGAAGTATCCAAATACAAGTTTCGGTATATCTATATTTTAACAAATAAAAATCAGATTCAAATATTTTCTGAAGTACAAGTGGCTTTAATATTCTTGAAGTTCTTGCACCATTAATATTTTTTTTATTATGAACATAAATTATACATTATTGCAGTTAAAATAATTTAAAAGTACAAAAATATCTAGCTCACCTGTGGATGAGGACTGTAAGTGTAGACAGTTCTATGTCCCACTGTTTGAACACTTTCATATTTGGACATGCGTGATCGTGTTCCTGCAGATAAAGACTGTGTTGAAAACTGCTGACCCCCAACACCATAACCTCCGGATGAAATGGCTTGACTGGACTGTAAACTGGTTTTGTCAGTTCTAAGAAGAAATAAGAACAAAACACATTATACAGAACTTTTCAAATAACAACAGTTTCCTTTCATTGAATATAAATCCTTAAAATCCTGCAGTCACAGCAATTTGTACAAACCCGATAATCTACATATTTCAAAACAATGCTTGCAATATCTATATTCACAAGATTTGTTGCAAACAGATGTATCAGGCATAAACCTGTTTTGCTAATTGTCTATATGCAATTTAGATTGTTAAAACAAACCAAAAAAAAAAGAAGTCATAATTACTATAACAGTAGTTATTTTGAAGTTGTAAGTTGAATTGACACCAAAATACGTGTTTTCATTTTGGGATGTCTTGCATTGGTCATAGAATATGGATTGTTATATCATAATTTGTAACTTCGCTGGGACCGAGATATAAAAATAACAATACAAATATTTTTTTATACAAACATATAGAACTTGACTCTATAATATACATTCAACGTATACCAGGTTTTTAAAATGTGTTTTTATTTTTCTCTCTTTAAATTGAACAATTATAGACTCAACACTGTTAGCAATTAACTGCCTGTCTATGGGTATAGACATTTTCATCAGTACAACATATATGGTCAATATTGTGCAATGTGCATCAAGGAGACATAGTGTTCTATATCCCCAAGTTTTGTTTACAGTCAATAATGTATAATGTGCAACAAGAGGACATCCTGTCCTATATCCCCAGGTTTTGTTTACAGTCAATATTGTATAATGTGCAACAAGAGGACATCCTGTCCTATATCCCCAGGTTTTGTTTACAGTAAATATTGTATAATGTGCAACATCGTGTCCTATATCCCCAGGTTTTGTTTACAGTCAATATTGTATAATGTGCAACATCCTGTCCTATATCCCCAGATTTTGTTTACAGTCAATATTGTATAATGTACATCAAGGGGACATAGTGTTCTATATCCCTAGGTTTTGTTTACAGTCAATATTGTATAATGTGCATCAAGGGGACATCGTGTTCTATATCCCCAGGTTTTGTTTACAGTCAATATTGTATAATGTGCAACATCATGTTCTATATCCCCAGGTTTTGTTTACAGTCAATATTGTATAATGTGCAATATCGTGTTCTATATCCCCAGGTTTTGCTTACAGTCAATATTGTATAATGTGCAACATTGTGTTCTATATCCCCAGGTTTTGTTTACGGTCAATATTGTATAATGTGCAACATCGTGTTCTATATCCCCAGGTTTTGTTTACAGACAATATTGTTAAATGGTGTTGATGCATACTCAGTAGGGACTAGGAAAGACAAGTATAAAGTTCGGTAGGATAGAAGTCTTCTTCAGCTAGGACAGCTTTACTTTTCTAACACGGTGGTTGGCCTTTCGAAAGAGTTGCTCGCAGATGGTGGTGAATGCAGTTAATTTTAGAAAATTCAAGGAAATGTGTGATAAACATTTGAATGATAAGGGCTGGCTTTGAATATTTTTATTTTAAAGTATAGTTTAGTGGATGGGACAGATCTAGATGGACCAACAGATCCCCTGTTGACTATAAAATTATATATATATATAAAATTTACAAGTTTAACACAACTACTCACAGTTAAATCAATTATAAAATTTAGAAATTGTGTAGAAGAGTGTTCAGAGATACTAAATATTTAGGATTGGCTTCATTGTCAAAATTCCCAACATTCAGGAATTTACAGATATCGACTAAAACAATCCCATCATTAAACCTTACACACATATTAGATTATACCACAGTCAACTCTGCTCTAATTAATTATTTCTCTTTATTTAAACTGTCATTTCAGTTCATTTTTAGTGCTTTCACAAGCATTTGCTGCCAGTCAGGACATTTGTATATATGGGTATTTTGCCAAAATTACTTGTTTTCAGGATTATACACATACTGACAGAAGTGCTCCCACCATTATACACCTTGTAAAATATATACATTACATTGTATTACAACTTGGCTCTTTCACTTTCAACCCTAATTAATAACTTTTTTTAATTGATATTTCAGTTAATTTTTAGTGGTGTCAGAAACATTTACCACCACCAGTCATCCCCATATCTGTAATTACTTGTATTAAGTATTATTAATTTCTTCACTCCTAGATTTGAGGTACAATGAAATGTTCTAATATTTATTACACTATGCAAATATTTGTATCTATCATGTGATTATACCGATCTTACCTAAAATGTTTTTAATCCAATTTCTCAAGGTGTATTATGTTTTACAAATTCACTAGACTGGGGGGAGCACAATGAACTCTTGAGAGAAAATAAGCTGATTTCAGTCACTGTGCAATGCATTGTGACTGTAACATTTGAAATCATAAACATTATGTACTATAGGAAATACTGGAGTTGTGTTGGCTTCATTAATTAAGATACCATATAATATTACGATGACAGATGAACGAGCAAGAAGATGCTAATTCTAACTATATTCTGGGGCTGTAAGTGGTGATGTCAGTACTGTTTACAACACACCCTTGAAAATATATCAGAAAACCTAAATTTTTTAAATAACAAATTAAAGTTTGAATATTCATTCAAAAGTATGCTTATTCAAATATTCATTTCAGCTTTAGTTCAACAGAGGACTAATAGGATATTTTGGGTGGGGGTATCTTTAAAAGATTGTTTATGATCTCTTAATGTTTTTGGTAAAAGAAAGTTATGTGGGGATTTTATCAAAGTTTGCAAAATTATTCCACAGGCTTTCAGTTACTTTATGCTAAATTCTGAGGACAGTCATATTTAGGCCTAATCATATAATTCAGCAACTTTTTATTCTTTGGTTTACAAGATTAAATGTTTATGCTGAGACAGTTATCATGTTAAAACATAAAAGCAATAATAATATCCTACTTTTAATTTATTGTGTTTATGGCCGAAAATACATTTGCTTTACAGTTCACTTAGTCTTTAGTATTACTAAGTTAGCATTACTATTACTCAATTTACTGTCATATCAATTATCATATTATTACAACATCACTAATTTAAAATAAATCTAAACAAATTATAATTGAAAGTTTACACATTTTTATGAATGACTCATCGCCTATTTGATCTCAGGTTTATTGGAGTTTTGTTAGTAACTAAATTAGAAGAGCCTTAACTGTATTAATTGGGATTAACGGACATCAACGTAACTATAGTAACTTGAGCGTAACTTCAAACTAATCAGTCACAATTTAAAAAATTAGGCCTATTAATATTATTACGGTGTTCCGAAACACAAACTTTAAAACGCACGTAACGAGTGTTTGCACAACTACAAATCTTTTCTACTACATAAAGGCTCTGCTTAATTTTAACATTCATACAGTATGCAAAAATATCATAAATTCATACCCATACTGGCTTCCACGGCCTGCCCCAGTCGTAAACCCAAAATAATTATTCGCGGCCATTTTCTTCAAGTTCAACCATACAACAACAATAACAATGCCCTGGTAAAAAAGACCCGGATATTCAAATATACGGTCTTGTGAGTTGTCGATCTGACGCTTGACGGTGCGTTTGAATTTAAGCTTAGAAGTGAAAGTAAAGAAAAATATGTTATAATATTTATATGTTATAATATTTATATGTTATA